GCAAATTTTCTAGAAACACCTAACTTCGCAAATATCCCCATTAAATTATATAAGGTAAAAGGGTAATTTGGCGCGGTTAAGAACAACCATTAATAAAATTTTTTAAAGTTGATTATTTACAAAGTTTATAGAATTCATATTTCCACTCATGTACTTTAATTAAATATAAATAAAAACTTTGATAATAAATTACAAGCTATTTTATTATTTGTTTAAAATCATCGAAAAAATTGAGATAAATTCGGTGGGTAATGTGGCGGATCGTTTTATTAGATAGCGTACGTACGCACATCAATTTTCTTTAGCAAATAACGTTTATACAAAATAGACAGTAGTTTTTTTACTAAACAAATAGGTTTCATCCACTAAGTAATACCATGTTTTAGACACCTTCAAATTTTGAGATGGTTTGGTTAATTTTTCATTAATCTATTTTCACGTTGTACAGTAGTTTTTTTACTAAACAAATAGGTTTCATCCACTAAGTAAAGTTATTGGAAATACCATGTTTTAGACACCTTCAAATTTTGAGATGATTTGGTTAATTTTTCATTAATCTATTTTCACGTTATACATTTGTAGATTTTCTGTATAAATGAAAATCGATTAATGAAAAATTAGCCAAATCGTATCAAAATTTGAATGTATCTAGTAAACGGTACTTTCAATAACTTTACTTAGTGGATGAAGTTCGACTTGCTTAGTAAAATATCTTGCTTTCATGAGTTATTTTCGATGCGCAAAATTATCCCCTTCATTTGAGCGAAAAGGTGCACAAAATATTGTACGATTTAACCAATCAAATTTCAATATCAGCCGGATGTAAAGGACCCATATGTTTAATTTGGAATTTAGGGATTTCTGAAAAATTTTTCGGCGGAGTGATACTCAAAAATAACTATATATACAATATTACACTATATAGGTAAACTAAGTAATGATAGAACTGCTAAAACGAAGGAAAAAAAATAAATGTAGTTTGTATATTCAAAAATAATTACAAATATTCATAAATTTTCAGAATTATGAACATTCGTAATACGTAATTATGAATAGATTCGAATATTCATAAATATATACATTTATTAATATAGCATATTCGAATACAAGCACCATACATCGAGAAATAGTACAAATTAAAATATATTGTTGCAAGTCATGCAATAAATTTCTAGTATACCCCCGAAGTTAGCGTTAAATTACTAATATTGAAGTTTTTTTTTGAATTTATTGGCTTATTTATACACTATTCAGAATTGTCAGTTTTTAAAAATAAAAATACGGTGCAAATTTCTAAATGAAAACAAAAATTAATATTCCATGAAAGATGTGTAAATTGCTATTATTAAGTAATATATGGTACAATAAAAAAGAGATTGGAAAGCCTAAAATATTCAACAAACTAACATCAAAATTCAAACCTTTTTTTTTTAATATATTACTATTTCTAACTTAAATATGTGTAATTGACGTCTATAGTTTTGTTAGCGACCAGCGGCTATTAAATAAATGTAATAATAGAATAAATGATGGTAAAGAAGATGTTGGCAAAAAAAAAAAAAAAAAAGGCTTCTAATTAGTTATGACAGTATGGGCTTCATGTACTTGTAGTGAATCAGATTCATCTAGAATGGGTTGTGAATGATCATCATCCGAAGATAATGGCTTCCGCCGTATTAAAACATCTTTTAATTCGTGTACCATACGTTCAGAATTTGAACGTACTTCCTTTGACTTGGCCTGTTTTAAAATTTATAATGATTAATAGTCAGTAAAGAATGATAATAAGGTCAATTAAATGTAGTTACACATACCTCTTCGATTCTCTTAGTTTTTTGTAGTGCAATCCTCTCTTCTCTTGTTAGTTTCTAAAGTTTAAATATAGTATTTTTAGATTCATGAAGTTTAGAAAGTTTATACGTTTAATAATATACCTACCCTTGTAGCGGACTCGACTTCAACCTCAGCATCAGCTTCAAATACTTGTTCCAATACGTCCAAAGGTTCATCTGTTCGTGACCAGTCAATTGTGTGTGTTTTTTCACAGAGATCTTCGTCCTGATCATTCTCATCTTTTAAAGTTTCGGCGTCTTCTTCAATAGAATGACGACTGTTACTTAATTCTGAATCTACTAGTGTTGGACCCATTATATCTTTTAAGGCTTTTTTTCCATCTTCCCATTCTTGGAACATGTAGGTGAAATCTTTACTTATTGACTCATATTGATTCATTAAATGTTTTCTTTCGTCCTCAGAGACTACAACTTCTGTTACGATAAGAACATCAATTATAATCATTAAAATAAGCAAATCAAAAATAATCTAATTGCAAGTACCTTCTGTTTCATAAAATTTACGCGCGTCTTCATTGCAAATATATAACTTTGCCTGAACGCCACGAACATGTTGTTCAATAGAAGCTAAACGATGAAGATAAGTCACGAGCTGCTTATTCGTAATTGTTTGTGAGGTCGGCTGAAACAAAAAGTCTTGTTTGGGAGCTGAAATGATATACAATAAAATTTTAAATATATATTTATATTATAATGTAATATAGAAAAAAAAATAAACAATAATTTACCTAGTTCATTAGTTGATGCCGCAATAATTTGGTCTAAATAAAGACCAGTAATTGATCCTAAATTATCCAGATGTTCGTTTACAGTTGCCCAATGATGTTCATAATCTCTTCGTCCAGAATCTCTACCAGGTGTCATTACGTCCAGTGCAAGGAAATGACACAACAACTCTCGACGTTTTGTATGCACTTTCTGAAAGCATTGTTTCAAATTCTCTAAGGAAAGAACGTCTTCTTCTTTTGAATTCCACTCATCACTTTCTAAACAAGGAATGATATTGTACATATTGTACATAATGGCTAAATTTTCTTTTAAACTCTCAGAACTCATGGCAACTATAGCATCCTGATAACTTATAAAAGCCTCCTGAAGTATGTTATGAACAATTTCTCTAAGCATACCACAACGACGACTTTTTGAAGATTGTTCGATGCGGGATATTGGAGAAAGTGGCATGGATCTATTACATTAAAATTAATTATTTGATTAAGGAGTAAGAAAAAAAAAAACTTCCCAAATCAGAAATCAGTGAGATTTGAAGTAAATTTACAACATACAATCTGTAGCCACGGGACACGAGTTCGATTTCTTGAATCATTATTAAAGCTTTGTTTAATTTTATATCGAAATTTTGACAATTATATACAAGTCTCTCTAAATAGTATAGTGCTGATTTATATAATGTTTTTGTAGCTTTTCGTCGCTAAAGTTCATATTACAAATTAATAATAAAAAAAATATATATATATATAATAGATTAATATAATATTAAAGTAGAATAAGATGGAAATTAATAAAGAAAATTACCATGTGACGATATAAGAAAAAGGTAACGCATAATGCCAAAGCAAATACAGTAGGTAACTGTAATATTTTTATACCGAAATCTTTAGAATCAGTACCGTGCAATAACCAAGTTAAAATGACGACAATTATGCCGATTATGGAACTCAACAAAATTTCAAAATTTCGACGCGAAATCCCGCCAAAATATAGCCCAGCTTCGCTGGTATCTATTGGTTTAGGTTTCTTGCTATCATAGAAGTAGACAGATAACGTGTCATTTAAGAGGTGTGATGTGCATAATAAATATTTAAAACGTTCTTCGAACTCATTTTCTTCTTGTAATGGAAGTGCGGTTGATAATGTTTCCTAAAGCAATAAACGAAACGTTTTTTATTGAAAGCATAAAACTTACAAGCTTAGTATATAACTCTTTATTAACTGTCATACCTGGGTAGAATTAAATATGTTTAAAATGTATTGTGAAAATCGGGACATCAATGTAGTATCACTAGCTTGTGAATCTCCTTCTAATTCAAATAGGTTTGGTTGTTTAGTGAGTGTTTCTTCACTACCGATATCTATTAAGAATATAAATACATATTTTAAAAATTCAAACGTTTTTAAGACACACATTTTAGAAAAATTAAATTATCTACCGGCAAGATATTCGGCGAAGGGAGTATCCTCGTAGACTACGTTTTCGGCCATAAGGAAAACTTTTTTAAAAAAAAACGAAAATAGATGAACGAAATTAAAAAAAATTAAGGGTTCGGATTGGAGATCGACGTAGTGGTACATAAACTGCATATGCTTGTTTTTCTCATATGTAAAAATCCGGAAAGAATTCAAGCGACCTTCACGCGGGGATTGATAAAAGTTAGCTGTTAGTACATAAGTACGTACAGTACGTACGTATGTATATACTTTAACTGTTAAGAAAATTAACAATATGGGTAATTATTTTTGAAATTGGATCCAAAAATAATTGCCCATATTAACAGTAGAACATCCAATCTGTCTTTAGAGATATGCCTCAACCCAAGACATGTCCTTTCAGGCATGCCTAAATATTTCCTACACCCTAAGCTAAACCATAAACTGGGATGCTTGCAACGTGATTTTGGTAATCGGGATCACGTCTATGTCCAAGACTTTTTTTAGGTAGCATATTCAAGCTTCAACAATTTAAAACATATGAGTAATTTTATTAATTTATTTATTTATCCAGAATGTCCACAACTGTCCCGTGACAACACTTGATGTTTGAGGATTTTAAATTTCAACCAATCAGAGTAATAAGACGTGAAATTTCACTAACAGTAAATGTGTCAGTGTTCACTGAGCATAAGAATCATACTCCCAACACCTTTAGGAAACAAATATACTTACCACTTATTTGATCATACAGAATAACTATCTACCACTGTTTAAAAAAAGACACTAAATGTTTCTGTCAAATATTGATTTATCAAACGTATTCGAAACAGTAATCCATTTTGGATAGACATAATACCATAATAACTGCCAGCTTTCTCTATGGTCTATGACAATCATAATCAAAAAGCTTCTTTCGAATTTTAGTATGCTAATTCTTTTTTTTTTTTCCGAATACCGTAGTTCTTAATAATATGTTAATTCTTTTTTTCAAATAGTCCTTAATAATATGCTGATTTTTTTTTTCAAATAGTCCTTAATAATATGCTAATTCTTTCTTTTTTCTAAATAGTCCTTAATAATATGCCAATTCTTTTTTTCCAAATAGTTCTTAATAATATGCTAATTCTTTCTTTTTTCTAAATAGTCCTTGATAATATGCTAATTCTTTTTTTTCAAATAGTCCGTAATAATGTGCTAATTCGTTCTTTTTCAAATAGTTCTTAATAATATTCTTTTTTTCAAATAGTTCTTAATAATATGCTAATTCTTTTTTTTTCAAATAGTCCTTAATAATATGCTAATTCTTTTTTTACAAAATAGTACTTAATAATATACCAAATTTTTTTTTTTCAAATAGTCCTTAATAATATGCTAATTCTTTTTTTTAAAAGCTCAGATTGGTTGTAGATATGAACTTGTTAATGGTAAAATGATCCAGGTTTAACGCTTAAATTTGTTAGGTTCTTGTAATGCGTCTAGAGTCTATTAACTGTAGATAAAGGTTTATCTAGACATTACAATAAAATGAACTATGGGATTTTTTTTCAAACTAAGACTATTTTTTTTTTTTTTTTTTTTTTTTTAAAAGTGAGGTTTTGCTTCAGTTTCTTTATTGAAATTTAATATATGTAGTACATCTAAATCTTATATGTAGTAATACATTAATTCTACCGAAAC